CTCCCCACTTATGCAAATGAAGCCCGGGAAATTCAAATCCCGGGCTTCATTTGCAAGTGCGGCATGCCTACATTACCCTCCTAGTTCGAACTAGGAGGGTAGTGTAGACATACCCTCTCTCTCTCTCTCTCTCTCTCTCTCTCTCACTTTCTCTCTCTCTCTCCCCAGTCCCTCATGGTAACAAAAAGAATTATATGGTTATTGCAGCAGCCTAGATGGATACCATTCGCACTCTATTTCACTGGCCCAATGACTGTTCACTGGGGCTCTGAATTGGGATTGTGCTGTTCCTATTGCTTCCTCCTCTTCTTTCACCTGTCATTTTGTAACTCCAGCCTGAAATGGGTTGGGAAGCTTGAAACAAAACATTTCCCTTTGATGTCGTTGAGTTTTCCATCCCCATGAAACTATTCAGCAAATTGGGCACAGATTCATGGACCGAAACTGGGGGATTGGGTGAATAAACTGTTATTAAAAGGCACTCGGCTCTCAGTGCACATGCCAGTCAGCCTCCATGGCAATACTGCCCCATGCTTGCTGCATGGAATAATGGGTAGGGGGCCTCTACACACAGGTGCAGTCTGCAGCCCTGGACGAGATGTTCCATCACAAGGAGGACTGTGCAGAGAGGTATCAGAAGGCTGTGCTGCTAATGGAGGGGCTCTTGCACATCGTAACAGAGCAGGGAGACATCGAGAACATCAGTAAATGTGAGCAGCTTTGCACTCCATTTCTTACTAGAGCCCCATGTGTTTTACCATCTGTGGCCCTGGGTCTCTATCTCCTTCCACCAGGGCAATTCTTGGATGTTGAAACCTAAACTCTGACTTCTCTATTGCTCCTCCTGACTCATGCCACCCAGTCTCTTGGTGCCCTTGAGAGAACAAACCAGTCTTCCTAGTTTTTCCACTCCAAAACAAACAATCCTTCCAGTTAGCATCCTCCCACTGTCCCTGTAAGCGGACACTTGGTCCTACTGCACTGACTCCACACTGTATGGAGTGGTAGGTGTTCTTTTGAGAGCACTGAGCTAGCATGGACTGAGAAAATCTTCTCTCTGCCCTCTTCAGCTGGGATTTGGTCAGGATGGCTCCATTAGCCAATCTGCCTCTGTGCATCAGAGCAGCAGGGGGAGCTTACCTAGCATCATGTACAAGAACAAGAGAGTGGGTTAAATTCAGCTCTGGCTGTGCTTTCACCAGAGCTAATCTGGCACTTGAACTGCAGTGGCAAAGCCATTATAGTTGTCTGCCTGGCTTCCCAACAGGGGGATTGCACACTTCCTCAGGAGACACCAAAAGTTCCTTCTTAGATTGCACCTGTTCCTCAGAAGGGGTAGTGCCACTGTCCTAATCAGCACAACATGCCATGTCAGTGATGCTAGATCAACCTGACCCCCACAAGCAATCAATGAAATAAAGTAATGGCCCAGAGGATGGTGTATTCACATCTGTAAGCGATCTAAATTATACTGAAGTAATTTGTGATGTAGATGTAGTCCCAGAAAGCTTGCCTCTCTCACCAACAGACATTGGTCCAATGAAAGGTACTACCTCACCCATCTTATCTCTAATGTCATGGGACCAACACAGCTTCATTACCATTTTATATGTTATTTAACCCAGTTTATTTCACAGCTCCCTGAATAAGACAGTCTCTCTTACATATCTCTTGTTATCACACAACATGCTGTATTTTAGATCCAAATGTAGAGCCCAGGCTATATACACCTACTGGTATCAATAATTTGCCTTGGGAATTCAGATTCTTGAGTCTGAAACATTAGGAATTAATACCACAACTATGAACTTCCTGCCTCCATTAGGGTCTGATTAGACTCTGATTTCTTTGTATCCCAGATGGGGCTTTGGCAAATGTGAGTGAGATCTGGAGCCATCTTCATTACTGGCGTGAACCACTTCACTGATTTAAATAGTTACAACCCCACTGATGTTAGAGGTGAATTAGAGACCTTTCTGAGAACTCCAAGTCTCCATGAGGGACAATGTCCAGAATACTGTTTTCTGAAGTCTCTGATAATTCCTATTTCTCATGCTCTTCTTTGCATTGGGATGTTTTGGGTCTGGTACTCTGCTGGTGTAACTCCATTACATCTGCTGTACCCATTAACATCTGTTGAGGATTTGATCCTACTTATTTTGTTAGTTGTAATATTCCTGGAAGCCGGGAGATTGATTTCCTGTGTCCTTTCTCTCTGATAGGTAAGATGTGTGTTGAACGCCGGCTGTCAGCTCTGTTTTCAGGGATCTGTGCATGATTTAAAAAGTGCTGCTCGCCACAACCCTCACGCCAGCCAATCACATTCAGTTTCCAATCGCCCTCTGTCATGGTGGAGAAGGAGTCTGGCTATGGAGGACCTGGCAAACAAACTGCTTGATTTTATTTGTTGTCATCAGAAAGGTTTTCCACAGCAAGAATTTGGATTCTGTTGTTGAGGACATAGACAGCAGTGATTGCAAGCACTTTTCCATCATATATACTGGGGAATGACGTAAGAGAGTTGCAGGACTTTTCCCTCTCTCAGGGGAGGGGGCAAATGATACAATTTTCCTTTCTCTCACTTCTCCTTCAAAGGACAAGTCTGCTACCTAGCCCTCCCACACAGAGCAGGAGTGTTCTAGTGCTGCATCCATTGCTGGCAGTGGATGTGCTGAAACACTGAGCAGGAAGTTTCAGGTAAACTGTTAATGCGAGCTGAGAAGGGTATAATTCAAGGCCAGTTGCTTACAGTACTTTTCCAATCCCTGCTGATAGCCAAGCACTCAGGAACTTTCTACTGACCTGCAGCTGCTCCTTTCCATGCTTGCCCTTCTATATGTCATGCCACGGAGCACTTCCTGTGCGGTGGAGAGGAGTAACATGGGGAAGTTGGATCTCTCTTTTCCAGGAGCAATACTGAAGACAGCTGCAACCTTCCTAAAGGCTTCCTGGTTAATGCTGGAACCATATCACCACTGGAGAGGCTCCCTGCACCAAGCCCAAGTAGGCTGTCAGATCCCTACATGGATGGGGAAGCAACAAAGGAAAAGCAAATTGTGTATATATATCTATATATATATATATATTTATATCTATATATATATATATATTTAAAAACAACTCTAGCATTACAAGAAACCAAGATGATTTTCCCCCTGGTGGGGTCGATATCCTAGACCCTTGACTGCACATATCCAGTATGAAGAGACACTCATGCTGTCCTACTTTTAGCTATTGCATAGATAACCCTTTTCTCCTCTGCCCCCGCGAAACACTAAGTTTGTGACTGAAAGAAGCACTTTACACACTATGGTAACTCTTGACAAATTGACTTTGCATCAGTCTGTGACCCTGGAACTTCATGACTGTTGGGAATGCTGTTCTTTTGTTCCTTGTTTTATTGCACTACGTGTGTGTGTATATATTAATTTGTATTCCTCGAGGCAAATATATATTGATATATCGAGTGTGTCACTGTACGCATTTAATTGTACTGTATCTTGTGTGCGCGCAGTAAACAGCAGTCACACAATCCATGTGCTGTTCTCCTCCATGCCAGGCAAAGCTGGCTTGGAATCCTACAGTACCAGAGTTTTTTATTTAAATGTTCTTTTTAAGGACCGTCAGCACAAAGCTCCATGGTTTTTAAGAGCTCAAGAACAGACATTGAGATCTTACATTCTTACAATGGAATTTTTTTATTGTTTTTCTGCTTAATTTTTATAAAACAAACCAACCAACCCAGTTAGTATTCAGTTACCTTCAGCATTTCTTTTTCAGAGACTGTCGCCAAACAAGGCTGTGGGTGTGAGCAGTTGAAGACCTACCTGTTGAGGTTTGGATGCTGCAAGTATGTGTGTGAGGGGAAAACTGGCTGCCTTTCTGTGGGAGGGAGGGGGGCATGTTTTAATTTATCAGAGTCATGGCAGTATTTTGTTGGCGCTGAGCAGAAAAAATAATCTACATGGATGAAATGCAAACCTTGTGCTTTAGTTTTTGGGATCTAATAACATTTTGCACAGGATGGTGGTTAATTCTTCATCACCTCTCTCTTTCCTACTGTAGTTTTTTGCACGTTTTTGTGTGATGCTCTTTGGAAAAAAAATTATGCAAGGAACAACTCAGACTTGTGAACCAGCTTCATCTGTGGCAAGATGGACACTTCTGGTGGCTGAACACAAAAGCAAATAAATCCCCACCTCTTTGCAGGGTAGTGTGATTACATGATGTGTAGCATCTGTATGAGGCTTCCGTTGCTTCTTTCGTTCACTGCCTGTTGCTATGTGCCTATGCCTAAAACAAAAACAAATTGGTGGCTAGAGATGTTAAACAAGAAACAGACTGCGTCAGAAAAGATTGCCACTAGTCCTGCAATAGGCTACACTACAAGTATAGTACAATAATCTGGATGCAGTGTGAAAACAGTAAGCCAGAATAGAGTTCCAAGCAGGCACATGCTTTGAATGCCATGTATACCCCACAAACTTAATAGCTTATTGCCAAGTATTAGTTGCATCCCAGGATTTGTATATGTGTCACAGGTGTAATGATTCTTGTACGTAGCAAGCTCAGCACTAACCTTCCAGCTGTACTTAATTACTTGAATGTATCAAAATTGTCCACATTCAACATATATAAATATATATTGCTCCAGAAAAATGTGGTTTACAGAACTTCAACCAATATACAAATAAGTGTGTGTGTGTGTGTGTGTGTGTGTGTGTGTGTGGCGCACGCACGTGTATATATTATATATACATTTTCTCAATACTTGAAACTTAGCCACTGTGGTTGGATTTTGAAAAAAAGTAAACAAAAGCTAAAAAGGCAAATGATTTTCTTTTGCCACCACTTTGGTGACTATTTGTTATCTTAACTGCATGTAGCATGAAACCAACTTTTTTTGGGGAGGGGATAAAAACTAGTATTTATTGCTTTGTAGACAAGGAATGCAAAACAAGAAAATAAATTTTGAAGTTGCTAGTGTAGTCTCTTCATTATTGTTATGGGTTTGTTACTTGTTGCAGCGTTTGTATATGGTATCTTCAATAGATTTCAAGAAACCTCAGTCTAATAACATTTATCTTCAAGTTTGTGAGAAAGTGTATGATATTCTTTATAAGGTAATGATTGATTGTCAGTTTTTTCATTTGTGTTTTGTGTGGCTTTGTTTTGGTTTTAAATTGTATAGCACTGATTTAAGAAAATAAAACTGATCTGAAATTATCAGTGATTGTGTATCTATTCTCCAGCATCACTTACTTGGTAGCACTAATACTAATAATACGTTGCTGTTACAGAACACTTTTCATCAGTAGAACAGCAAGTGCAGGTCAGTATCATTCACCCCAGTGTACAGTGGAGGAATCTCTATGATAAGCAGATGACAGCTTGATCCCTCCAGTACTGCAAGTACTTAATCATGAGCTTAACTTTATGTGCATTAGTAGTCCTAATGAACTAAAGCTTCTCTCCATGCATAAGTATTTGCAGCATTCAGGTGCTAGAACTATTTGCTGCACTTTCAGGCTAACACATTCGGCTTTGGTGAGGCCACATCTGGAGTATTGTGTCCAGTTCTGGGCCCCCCACTACAAAAAAGATGGGGACACATTGGAGAGGGTCCAGCGGAGGGAAACCAAAATGATTAGGGGGCTGGAGCATATGACTTATGAGGAGAGGCTGAGGGACTTGGGTCTGTTTAGTCTGCAGAAGCAAAGAGTGAGGGGAGACTTGATAGCAGCCTTCAACTTCCTGAAGGGAGGTTCCAAAGAGGATGGAGAGAGGCTGTTCTCAGTAGTGACAGATGGTAGAACAAGGAGCAATGGTCTCAAGTTGTGGTGGGAGAGGTCCAGGTTGGATATTAGGAAATCTATTTCACTAGGAGGATGGTGAGGCACTGGAATGGGTTACCTAGGGAAGTAGTGGAATCTCCATCCCTAGAGGTGTTTAAGTCTCGGCTTGACAAAGCCCTGGCCGGGTTGATTTAGTTGGAATTGGTCCTGCCTAGAGCAGGGGGCTGGACTTGATGACCATCTGAGGTCTCTTCCAGTTCTATGATTCTATGTTATAGTACAGAGGCCTGAGGGCAGGTTAGAAGCGTGCAGTTAGGTGATGTCCTAAATACTAGTGTAGTGTGTAGTATTTTCCACTTTATTTCACTTATATGAGAACAAATTATCTTGCTTTACCAGCTTTTCTATGGTGGGTGTCTGCCTTAGGGTGGGTGTTCATTGTTTTGGGGGCTGGGAATTTCAGCCAAAAGGGTTCTGCTGTTTCCAAGAAAAATTCATCTTGCTTGTGTTAATACCAACTCTGGTGACCTTTCCTTTGAGAAGCTTCAGTGCCTCCATCCTTCGGATCAGTGTTTTGAAATTTGGGACAGGCTAGCCATTTTATCAGGGGTGTGCCTCTTGCCTTCCTGAGCAAATATGTAGACCTATGCATGGATACAAAATTTATATCCACAACTGTATCTGTAAAAATGAGCTGTGGAAATCTGCATTCATATCTGTGGATGTGGATACCCATAGATATAAAGCAGATATCTGCAGATTTGCAGGGTTCTAAATAGGAATGTAAAATCTCATTTAATTGGTTAACAATTAAAGGGGGAAGGGCTGTTCCATTCTGAATTGGCTGGAGACACACGAATACGCTGCAGATTCTACTGCAGATTCTACGGCTGTTAAGGGTGATGTATACCGGTTAATCTTTCACGCCTCTAATTCTACATACTGATGCAGATAAATGTTGTAATGGCAAAAAAGAGCCATGCATACACACATGCATGGATGTGGATACCAATGGATTTCAGGCTCTACAAATCTACCTGCATTGTAGCCAAGGTATAAGCCTATGAAAAATTGCAGTTTGTACATGCTGAGTCTCTCAGACCTACTAGAACTTTGCAGCTAGATGTACTGAAGTTTCCATATCTACTGAGCCTTTCAGTCTGGGGCTCAGCAGAACTTGCCCTAAAGTTGGAGCTCTGGGCTGCAAGTACCAGCACTGATCAAAGAGCCTGTTTCTCCAGTGTTCTAAATGAAGATGGAGGAAGAAGCTGCCTGGTTTGAATTCAGAGAGGATGGCTGTGGGACAGGAAAGACGGGGAACAAATTGAGACGAGTCTGGTGGAAGGTTCAAACTGAAAACTAGCAGGGTGGGTGGGAGAAAAACTTGATTTGGGGTGTGGAATTGGCTGGGCAAGGAGACTGGGAACAAGGAGCTGAGGTGGGGGAGAATGATAGTGAAACTGGGATCGGAGCTCTAAGGGTTGATCATAGGATTTGCCATGTGAAGAGATGGGACTAGGATGAGAAGCTTGAGGAGTGGAGTGTGAGCTTAGGTAGATGAGGAGAATTAGAGTGGGATGAGAGCCAAAGGTAGGGAACAGGGACAAGATAGGTTGAAGGGTGCCACACTTGCAAGGAATGAGCAAAAAAGTCTGTGCCCAATGGAATGCACTCTTGTCCAGACCCCAGTCCAAGACTCTCAAGTGTCACCTTTCCTCAGCTGTCTGCAAGTAGTTGTGAACCTCAGCAGCAAAGTGTGGTCTCCATCCCCTTCTCCTACTGGCTGTCATTGCGGATGACAATGTCCTGCTGCTGTCAGTTACCCTGGGTATGTCTACACTACAAAGTTAGTTCGAACTAACTTTGATAGGCACTACACTAGCGCTCCGTTAGTTCGAATTTAATTCGAACTAACGGAGCACTTAGTTCGAACTAGGTAATCCTCATTCCACGAGTATTAAGCCTAGTTCGAACTTACAAGTTCGAATTAAGGGCTGTGTAGCCCCTTAATTCGAACTAGTGGGAGGCTAGCCCTCCCCAGCTTTCCCTGGTGGCCACTCTTGCCAACACCAGGGAAACTCTATTGCCCCCCTCCCAGCCGCGGAGCCCTTAAAGGGGCACGGGCTGGCTACGGTGCCCGTGCCAGGTGCAAGCCTGCCAGCACCCAGGCAGCAGACCCTGCACCTGGCATGGCACGAGCCAGCCACCCGCTGCCACCCAGCCCTCCGCCTCTTCCCGGGACCAGGC